AACCTTTTGGCAAAATTGGGGGGAAATTAAATATTTAAAGTTTTGAAATGAGTTCAGGAAATAGGTGGGTGGACTTCTTAGTCTGTTGTCATGTGATTTGTGGGTGGGAATTTCTTTTTTAAGCAAGAACAGTGTACTATATTGACTGACCATGTCTTCCAATGTAATGTCCCTGAGAACCAGAATGTAGACAAGTGCTCTTTGTCTAACTGAGTGAATAAAAAAGCATGTTGGCATGAATGGCCATGTGCATTTTCAGGGAGGAGGGCCACTTACCAGGGCCTATTGAATTAAAATTTTAAAAGCATATACATAAAATTTATCTGCAGATCAGAAGGGCACCACAGGCAATGCATGTTATCCAACTCTGGAACTTGCACTGGAAGCAGAAGCAGGGTGTGGGTGGTGGTTCAGAGGAAAAATGCTGCTGGAACATTAGATTAGACATGTGCAGTAATCAGTGTTTTTCACAATCTGCAATCAGTTGCAAGAATTTCTCAGGCCTTAAAAGTTGTAGAAGCAGCAGTTGTGTTTGCTTTGTGCCTTATATAACTATTCAATGTAATACTTTGAAATGAATCAAGGTCTCGGTTGAAGATCCTGAAAATGTTTCACTTGAAGTATGTGAGTGAGTGTTGAGAGTTCTAAAGAGTGGAAGGTGCTCATCATTCTCTGAACCCTGCCCTGTGTTGTCTGGCCACCTGGCTCCCACATTTTCATATACGCCAGAAGAGCCAATAAAAAGTGAAAGTTAGGAGACTAGGAGATGCCACAAGTGCCTGCCAGAATTCTAAGGTATTTTCTCAAATGAAAGGGCCAAAGTAACGATGTCAGGCAGACCTGAGTTGAGCACTGACTTTCTCCAAGTAGTGCCCTAAGTGCCCTTTCTGGGCCTCAGTCATTTCACCTGTAAAATGGGGTCATATCACCTATCACTTTCCTCCATCGCTACTGCACATCCCTGGTACAAGCCATGATCATCCCTCACATGACCACTGTATGAGCGTCCGAACCGGTCTTCCTACTTTGACTCTTCACACACCTGCCAGAGTGGTGAAGCTCATGAGCTCCATCTGAAACCATCTGGTTTGCTTGCTTGTTATTGTCCCCCTGACGCCACTCCAGAATGCCATCCTCACCGTCTCTGTTACATCCTTAGAGCTGATAACACTGGCTGCTGCCGGGCGGTCCTTATTATCTCCTCCCAGCCGCTTTTACTTCTGGTGTTCTTCTGCTTTTTTTTTAGCAGTTTTTCCTGAGCTAATTTGCAGTGAAAGCCAGGTAACCTGGGTCTGGATTTAGTTCTGCCTCTTCCCTGTTGGCCCTTTATTAAGAAAGTCACTTAACTTCACAGGCCTCAGTTTTCTTACCTGTGAAGGGAGGGCGCATCAGTCTGCTAGGCCTGCCATAGCAAAGTACCACAGACTGGGTGGCTTTAACAACAGAAATTTATTTTCTTACAGTTCTGGCACCTAGAAGTCTGAGATGAGGCTGTCATCAGCATTGGTGTCTTCTGAGGCGTCTCTCCTTGGCTTCTAGATGGCTGCTTTCTCACTGTGTCTCCACATTGTCTTCCCCCTGTGCGTGTCTGTGTCCTGAGCTGCTCTTTTTATTAAGGACACCTGTCATATTGGAACCCTAATCTCATTTTACCTTATTTAAAGGTCCGATTTCCAAATTTCATCACATTCTGAGGTACTGAGGGTGAGGGCTTCAACATGAATTTTGCAGGGACACAGTTCAGCCCGTAACAGAAGGGAATGTAGTAGATTATATTTCAGATGCCTTCCAGCTCTACACAATTATATTTTAAGAGGGGGATCCTTCTCCTCACACCCATGTCTAATTCCACTCCTGTGAGGTAACAGCTTGGTATATGTGCTTCCTCATTTTTAATACTCATACGTCTCCCCATGTATGTTTTTTGGGAGGTCAGCTGGCTGGTATCCGAACCCTTGGCCTTGATGTTATAACACTGCACTATAACCAACTGAGCTAACCAGCCTGCCCCCATCCTCACGTATATTTTTGAAGGGTTTAAAAGTGTGTGTGTGTGTGTGTGTGTGTGTGTGTGTGTGTGTGTGTGTGTGTACTGGCAATGGTATAAGTTATGAACAATTGAAATAGAATTTATGCGTAACATACTAAATGGAACAAAAAATAGCATCTGAGGAAGAGTTTTAATTTTATTGGCTTTTTTTTCTTTTTTTTTTAAAGATGACCGGTAAGGGGATCTCAACCCTTGGCTTGGTGTTGTCAGCACCATGCTCAGCCAGTGAGCAAACCGGCCATCCCTATATGGGATCCGAACCCGTGGCCTTGGTGTTATCAGCACCGCACTCTACCGAGTGAGCCACGGGCCGGCCCTTTATTTTTCTATATAATATTTAAAGTGCAGTATATAAGAAAAAATAATTTTTCCCCTCTTACAGCTGGAAACTGACAAACTGGCTCTCCCAATGAGCCCCAGCCCACTTAGCCCAAGCCCCATCCCCAGCCCCAACACGAAACTTGAGAGTTCCACTCTCCTGACGGTGGAGCCTTCCCCCCTGGATAAGAACAAGGGCTTCTTTGTGGACGAGTCCGAACCCCTTCTTCGCTGTGACTCAACATCCAGCGGCTCCTCTGCGCTGAGCAGGACCGGCTCCTTTATTACCAAAGGTAAGACATCCACAGATGGGTGTCCCAAAAGAGCCCCTGGGATTTCTCCCTTGCTAGTTCCACATCCAGTTGTAGTTGAGCCATTTGAATGACCTGCCTGGTAAGACCTGTCCTAAACTCCAAGATGAGGCTGGCCTGAGAGAGAAACATCATTGGCCAGTGAGGACACACCTAAAAAATCTTACAGCTCCAATTTCCTGGCCAAGTAGTATAGGTCACCTTCTATCTGCATGCTGCTATCAAATATGTGTGTTCCCGGGAAAGTCTGATAAAATGTAGTCTGGCAGGTTTTTTGAAAATTATTTACCAGGCTTGCTGAATCTGAGGATTTAAAGTATAACCTATCTTGAGAGTCAGAAGTACATGTTTTAGTGACTTGAATTGATCCTGAAATTCATTCTGTTAAGCTAGATTAACACTAACAATGTTTTAAACATTATGAATTGATACTTTTGGTAAATAATTTGCCACTTTTAATTTTTAATAGCAGAGTAGGGACTTAGTATGCACATTATATTGATGACAGATTTTTGTTAGAAATTTCCTCGTTTGTGTAATTCTAGTATATTTTAGCGAAAGGGTTATATTTTATGTTACATCTTATATATCTATAAAATGTTATATTTTACACATTTATATTTTATATACTTCAAATATTTGTTAATCTATTTTATAATTTTATATAAAGGACTTATATTTTAACTTATATTTCACATTACATATTATATTTTGGAGAAAGCATTTTATAATAGTAATAAAAGTTACAGTTCCTTATCCCAATGTAACATATGACCCAAGAAACAGTATTTTCATATTTATGAGGTCTTACTCTCCCAGCAGTTTAGTTTTAAAATATTGCAATATATCAGAAGGTCAGATAAGCAGACTACATTGGCTTGGACGGTTTGATTATTTGGAAAAGGGTTGGACTGATATATATCTTTGTTTAGTAGGTACACGTTACAGATGAGGAAAGTAGTATTTTGCTTGTTTGTTTAGAGTCTTCAAGTATTTTAACATTCTTCTTCTGAACTTTAGAAAAATTTAGAAGTCATATAAGTCTAGGCAAATATTACATTAATGACCCATCAGTGACCCATTCAAGCAGGTTCTTGTCTGATCCCTATTTGGCAAATCTGGGTTGCTCTTATGTGCAGTGCAAGTAAAAACTCTCTTGTTGAACATGTGCCAGAAGGTCACTCACTCACTTTGGCAGGAGGTGGCGAACAGGCTGGGAAGAGGGTAGATGTCACTCTCTAGAACCCCTCCCGCACCACCCCCATGCACCAATATAGTCCTTTTACAGCTGTCCCCTTCCCTTCCGTTTCCTCCCTGCAGAAAAGAAGGACACAGTGTTGCGGCAGGTACGCCTGGACCCCTGTGACTTGCAGCCTATCTTTGATGACATGCTCCACATTCTGAATCCTGAGGAGCTGCGAGTTATTGAAGAGATTCCCCAGGCTGAGGACAAACTGGACCGGCTATTTGAGATTATTGGCGTCAAGAGCCAGGAAGCCAGCCAGACCCTCCTGGACTCTGTTTATAGCCATCTTCCTGACCTGTTGTAGAACATAGGGGTATTGCATTCTGAAAGTTACTCAATTACTCAATTTAGTGGCAGGGTGGCTTTTTGTTTTGTTTCTGATTTTTGTTTTTTGGGGTGTGTGTGTGTTTAACAGAGTATATGGCCAGTGTTTGAGTTCTTTCTTTTTCTTTTTTTTTCTTTTAACCCTTCTGGTAAGTTAGTTTATAAGCCTCTCCAAGTGTAACTGTATCAAAATATGCACCACTAAAGTTTCTTAAGTTCCATAGTTTCTCCGTTTTGCCTTCTTATGTATTTTCAAAATTGTTCTGTGCACTTTAAAGTCATTTAACTTACCGTAAGTGCAGTGTGACTTTTCCTACACACTGATTGTGAGGCTCTTAACTTCTTAAAAGTGTAATGGAATCCTGTGAATCCTATAAACAGTCTTCATGTCTCTCAACATCCACACCTACTTTTTAAAAAAAGATTATTGTTACTATTTTTATTATTGTTTGTCCTTTACAGATTTTCTTAAAGATTAAGGAAATTTAAGACTCCACTGAGTTACTGTAATGAAATTAGACTTTCAGTTATCTTTTTAATATGTCTTCTTGTACAATTCATATTCATGGCTGAAACTTGACCACACTGTTGCTGATTGTATGGTTTTCACCTGGACACCGTGTAGAATGCTGAATTACTTGTGCTCTTCTTATGCTAATATTCTCTGGGCTGGAGAAATAAAATCCTCAAGCCATCAGGACTTGCTATTTAAGTGGCCTGACCACCAGGCCACCAAAGAACTTGAACTTCATCTTTTAGGGATTGAGTTGTTCTAGAACACATTGCTGCACTTTGGAAAGTAGAAATTGAGTGCCAGTGGCACCTTTTCCATAGAGAATCTGCCCAGCTTTGCTTTAAAAGGTGTCCTGTTTTTTATACACACGTAGTCAATAGGTCCAGGCTGCCTGCAAGACCTTGGTCTTGGTGGGTTTCCTTTGCCGTTCAATCACTTTAATTAACAATGGCTGCAGGTGTAAGAACTCTTGTCTGATAATATTTGCAACTATACTCCCATTTATAAACATACCCTCTAATGCTCAGTTGCCAGACTCTAATGCAAAGGTGGTGTGGACTCCCTTTGTGTGGGCAGGGCTTGTGGGTAATGGACCCATATCAGAAAAATGCCTTCAAGTGTACTAATTTATTAATAAATACTAGGTGTTTGTTACTTGAGTTGTTTGAGTGTATTTAATCTTAACTTTCTTGCCTTGTACATGTGCTCAAGTTATAACCCTTTGATTATTCCCTTAGAAAAGTATGTGTACTTTATTCTAAAAACCTCAGCCTCTCTAATCTGTAAATCATGTTTGTATCTGTAAAGATACCTTGAGGTTCATAGAGAAGGATTCTAGTGAAAATAACAAAGCATTTCCTAGTCTTTGGGATTTAAACTTGAGGCTCACATTTTTGAGACTGTCCCTAATTTTAAGAAAGGAGGATTTGGAGGTAGAGAGGTAGAGTGGAGAGGTGCACGGAATGAGTAGGGCTTCAGCTATGTTCTTCTTCATTTACATCTACCAAATTTACCACTCATGGGAGGGTCTATCCAAGCTCACAGGCTTCTGTATGAAACCTCATTGCCCCTGAACTTCAGTGGGCTTTCTTGTCAGTGAGGCGGGGTGGGGTCTTTTGTTGGCAGGATATAGCATATCATACATCATATCATGTCATTCATTGTGTGTCCCCCTTAGCTTGGAGCCCTAGGTCTTCAGAATCCCAGTGACCTTAAATGCATAATTTAAGTTTCTCTTTTAGTGAGAAACTGAAAGTGATGCCTCGTCTGGACATTTTGACACTCAGGTCAGCGACATTAAAAGGTTTTCTAGTTTCATTCACTTCCATGTTGTTGGCTTCTAGAGGACCATCCTGGTATTTTGTTCTCACACCAGGTTTCTGCTCCTTTTGTCCATAAAAGACTGGAATTCCATCACCAAAGAAAGCAAACTAGATGGATGATAGTGGAGGAGACAGACTTCTTTCCCAAATGATTTCAGGACTGCCACTTATTTTATGTGGGGGTGGAAAACATAATGAAAGAATGAATCAGTGTCATGGTTAAGTTTGTAATTATCTGTAACTTGGGGGTGTGTTTATTAATAACTCACACACAGCTTTTACTTTACAAAGTGCTTTTTATATTATCTTATTAAATCCACACAACTATCCTATAAGATAGGTACTATTATTGTGCCCATTTTACAAATTTAAAAAAATAGACTTATAAAGGCTAGGGAACTTGATTAAGGCCCTATAGCAAAGTTGTAGATATCAAACTTGAATCTGGGGCTTCTGACTGAATCCAAGACCATTTGCTCTATTCAGGATCAGCAACCAGAAATCCTTTTGATGTTGGAGGTAGGGGTCTGGGGGTGCCAATAGTCAGCCTCAACCCACCCAGTCCTCTTACCAGGTCTTGACTCCTCCACAAGAAAGAATTCAAAGGAAGAGTCACAGTAGACAGTGAGAACAAGTTTAATATAACAGATAAGAAATACAGTTTCCATGAGAGAGTGTAGCATAGCTCCAGAGACGGAGCAGGGCCCACACCAAGTTTAACACAAAAAGAATTTCAGTACAGACATCAAGTCTAACACAAAAGCAAGAAAAGCATAAAGTTCAGTACAAAGTGCAGGCTGGCTCAAGAGAATGAGCAGCAGCTTGCTGAGAGTAAGTTTGATACAAAGTAAAGTATACACACCTCAGCCAGCAAAAGTCCCTCCAGGAAAGCCAGCAACAGTCCCTCCTGCTGGGGTTCAGCTTTTATAGTTTCTCTATCTAAAGAATATTCAATTAAGGTGGTAGTTCCCAGTTATGTAACATTTAATCTTGCAAATGCTTAGTCAGCCCCTTCCTGGAGCATGTTCATTGGTCAGATCCTATCACATGTACCAGGCATATTCAAGAATATTCTGTACTCTCTTCTGAGCATGCCCATCCACTGGATTTGCATAAGCCAGCCCCTTGTAGTCTCATTTTCCCCTTTTTGGTGCTGAGAATAGGTCTAACTGGCAACAGTAACTTTCCTCCAGGGAACAGCCCAGAGGAGGGGGCCTGAGACCTCAGGAAGTGGCTGGAAACCTAGAGTCATGTCCTGAAACCCAAGCCCATGGAAACTGAGCACCTCCTGTATCACTTTTTTGGCTGAAACAGTGGGCAGAGATCACAGTGATGAAATTTTGGGGGGTTGTAAGTAAAGGCCTACAGGCAAGTTCAATAAATACTTGTGAACATGTACAGATGGGGTGACATCTGTTGATGACCTATGGGAAAGAAACATAGGAGTTGTGGTTAAACAGAAGCTTGATATTGAACTAACATGACACATAGTTTTTCTAAAAAATAATGAAAACTCCAGCTGCACTATTAAAAAATACAAAGTTCTGATCAGACCCAATGATAGTATCATTTGTATACTGTGTTGCTCACTTTGCAGCTTTTCTTTGGTTTGGGCTGCCTTACTTTGAAGAGTATGGATGAACTGCAAGGTTTCCAGTTTTGGGGTGGGGAGTTGGGGGGCGACAAGAGAGTAGGAAACAGAATCAGGAGCAACTGTTAGGAAATCTAAGCCTGACAATGAACATCAATCAGGCAGGAGAAAGACTAGCTTCTGTTATTTGAAGAGCTAAGAAGAGACAATGTATTTTTCTTTAGAGAGTAATACAGTTTCCTCTAGCCTGGTTAGCCTAAATGCAATTAAATTGGGCTGCTTTTCAAAGGAGAGAATGATTCCTACTCTGGGAAAAAGTTGGAAATGTGTCAGTAGTTCTCAAACTTTCATGTAAATAAGAATCACCTGGGAATGAGCAGTCTTAAAAAGGCAGGTTCTCATAGAGTCCAATTTAGGAGGTTTCAATGAGCTTCCCACACAATTTTGGGGGCCACACTAAGAAAAAAGAGTTCAGATCTTTGCCACTGTGAACTGAGGACCAGCAGTATCCACCACACCTGGAAAGGTCTTAGAAATGCATAATTTGAGGCTAATTTGCTGTGCAAACTGTAATATGCAAATGAAACACCTGGAGATCTTATAAAATGCAGATTGTTTCAATTGTTCTGGGTGACTGGGTTGAGAGGTTGCATTAGCTCCTGGGTGATGTGGGTGCTATTGCTCTTCAGATCACACTGGGTAGCCAGAGAAGATGCCTCAGTTTCATTGAAAGAGCAGTGCTAATTGGAGAGATTGCGCCAGTTCCACATGAGAGAAGTAAGCCAACTCTGATAATCCGAAGAGATCTCCAGAAACAGGCAATCCTAGTGCTTCTCAATCCTGGTTACACACTGGAATTAGCAGGGAAACAGAAATCCAATA